ATTAGACAGCAGTGACAACAAAGTACATGATTGTTCAACATTGGGTGTTTGGTGGTTTTGGATGTCACCATTCTTACAGTCAATGATACCAACCGGGTTGAGAAATGGAATGGCATCTAGTAGATTTTCCCAGAAGAATGTGCCACCTCACTAGGACAGGATATATTTCCTTTTATGTTTAATTATTTGCTGCAAATAGCTGTGATAACTTCAGTCTTAATTATCCTTCAAGAAGCTTAAGATCCTTAACTAGATATGGTGTTAAGCCCCAAACTGATACAAGAGGATTAAAAAAAATGCCTGCTCTTTCTCTCTCTCTGCTATTGGCTACATAGTTGACATTCTATAATACTCACATTATAACAGCTGGGAAGGATGACTGTTGCCCTCTCTGGGCATTGTAACAATACCCACAACTCCTACTCATGCAAGTAGCAGGGATGAACGTGCTAAACTTTGCCCCCTCTGTTGCTGCCCGCATTGCCCTCCATGAGTTGGAGGGTGAACTTCTGAGGTAGGGAGCCTTATGTATTTGTGGAAGCTCCACACATGATTTAAAACTCTGGGTTCTAAATAGCCAACATATATGAAACTGGAGGTCCATACCCCAAATTCCACACCCAGCCCTCCACAGGACTGTCCTTTCTGAGTGGGTATATCACCGAGTCTGGCTCACTAACAGCCTATATATATATATATATATATATATACACACACACACACACACACACACACACACACATACATATATACACACGCTTGAGGTTTGACTACATGCCTGTGATTTTATAGCTTTTAGGGTGGGATTTCTGCAGTGATGAGAAGTTCCAGTGGTGCAGCATTTACCCAGGTTTCATTTCCTTTGGAAGGTCACTGGAAGCTTATTGGTCTGCATTTATTTGCAAATATGCCGGCTGAGCACAGGTGGAGATGCGCAGCTGAAGCATGCCAGCAGGAAGCTGCAATCCACAGATCCCACATCAGATCTCTTTTAGGGACAGCCAGTATCGTAAGATGCTTGCAGAGCCCAAACTCAACTGTCTCTGGGCTAATGGACACAACCTCTTTTTCATGTATATGTAAAATGAGAGTCATAATAGTGATCTATAGTTAGAAGTCAGCAGGTGTGCGGGGTGTGTGCGATTGGGTTGTTGCTTTTATTTTGAATATATATAGTGTGGTTTTTATGTTGATCTTTTCTGTGAACCGTCCTGAGACCTCTGGGTATAGGGCGGAATAATAATAATAATAATAATAATAATAATAATAATAATAATAATGCAATCCAGCTGCAGTTTCTCTTCTCACACAGATTATTATCAACCTTAGCTTAAGGAGTGGAAGGACAAGTATGCTTTTTTGCCAAAGCAGCTCAGCCTTTCAGAGTAGTCTCCAACTATTTCCTAATCACTGTGGGCCAGCTATTGAGAGAAATCAGCCACTCTCTCTAATGAAGGGAAGGTATTAGGCAGTCCCTGTTCAATTAATCACCTCTTGCCCAACCTTACAATCTCTTTACAATTGGATAAAAAGGTTATCTGGGCCCTTAGCTGCATAACTGGTCTGTTAGAAAGCAAGCAAAAAAGTTCAAGTAATGTACCTTCACTTTAGGACATTTCTTCCTTCATGGTTCTTAATAACGCCACTTCCTCTGCATATTTCAGTCCAAGCACAAATGTCACTTCCTTCTGAGAATTTTGTTTTTGTTTTTTTTAAATATGAGTCTTGTATTTACTTTATATGAACACCAAAATACAGCAGTGACAACAAAGAGGAGCATACAGCAGAGGGAGGAGAGGAGAGGGTGGTACTCAGAGTAGGCCCACTGAAATGGAAGAACATGACGAAGTTAGGTCCATTAATTTCAATGGGTCTACTCTGAGTTAAATTTAGTTAAATGCCACACTATTCATTTACTTTTTGATATGATTATTTATCTCTCTCCTTAATGTGAAGGTAGCCAAACAGGTTTTACTTGTACTGTATTACTTAATTTAGCCCTAGAACACAATGGAACAACAACATCCTTAAAATGTATCACATAACTTACAAAACTTGATTCCTTGCTCATTATTCTCTCAAGAATTTTTAAAAAGAAAACCCTTCCTTCTATATACCCTAAAAATGTGAAAGCATTCTCCAAATGATGATAAAGTCCATATGTTACTGTTAATGGCCTTGGGATACGCTTAACATATGGCAGAAAGGTTCTCTAGGGCCACAGCAGTATCACTGAAAGTAAGCAGAAGTTTGAGGAATGTGTCATCATTTTAGGAGAGGTTCTCCTTCCTGCTTCTAAATATTGCCCCTTCTTCTGCATGTTTCAGTCCAAGTTGCAATGGCGCCTGACCTTTCATCCCAGGTTAATTCTATAAATAATCACCAGTGTTGCAGGTGAGAACCTTACTTGGCACTGGAATGGGGCGAGGGGGGATATTTCCCAGCTGGACTATGTCTGTTTGCTGTGGGGAATTGTAGCTCCATATTATGAAGCCCCCCCCCCCAGATTCTTTCTGGTGCTATGTTACTCCACATGTCTACAGCTAAGACATTATCCCACTTCGTTATGCAACAGCGATGCAAAGGTCTGCAAAGTGTTGCATAGGTCTGCAAAGTGGCATGCAGAGCAGGTGACTTTTTGTTCCACACCATTAATGTTAGACGTGCCTTGTTGAACCAGATCAAAGTCCATTTACTCCACCATTCTGCTTCCAGTAGCAGGCATGCAGGCAACTGCTGCTGGGCATGGGGAACGACCATTCCAATGTAGCAACAATGACTGCAGCGTTCACAAAAACCATCAGCAAACCAACTACAAACAGTGGCATCAGGTCTATTGATCATGGCTTGTTAGTGAGCAACAAACCATGACATAAGAGAAAGTCAAGGCTTTCTGGCTTATTTATCCTGCTCACGCCAAGGGAGGAGTAAAGTGGGAGTGATCAGGCAGCATCCTCCAGCCCCTACTCATTTTCACCCAGAAAGCCTGGCTTATTAATGTGTGACTGCAGCCATTGTGTGGCCTTCTACCCCCTGTAGTGTTTTCTCTACAGTTTCATTCACATACACACACACACAACCAAGGAAAACAGAGATTGGGGAGGAGCCATAACACAGGGGCAGAGAACATGCTTTGCAGGATCTCCATTATTATGTGGAAGATCTTTTCCACATTAGAGATCTTGGGAGAGCTGCTGCCAGTCAAAATAGCAGATGTTAGTGGACTAGATAGACCAGTGTATGACACTGCCATACCCTCCTATGTTGGAAAATGTTCCCTCTTTAAGAGCACACAGAAGTAATTCCCACTGTGTTCAGTAAAGTTTATTCTCGGCAAAGCATGCATAGCAGCACTGCTGCGGCTGCCTAAGGCAGTAGTTTTGGATGGAGTAACTGTGAGAACTATAGCAGCACCTCTCTGTGCCGAAAACAGAGTGGATATTATCTGGGGCTTTGTGAGGTGATTGTACATTACAAGTACCTTTACAGCAGTTTGAATAGTCCTCTTTCGCTGTTCTTTCCTAGCAATTGGTATTCAGAAGCATGCTGCCTCCGATCCTGGAAATGGCACAGAGCCATTGTGACTCTTCTATTAGCAAAAGGTAAAGGTAAAGGGACCACTGACCATTTGGTCCAGTCACGGACGACTCTGGGGTTGCAGCGCTCATCTTGCTTTACTGGCCGAGGGAGCCGGCGTACAGCCAGCATGACTAAGCCGCTTTTGGCGAACCAGAGCAGCACACAGATATGCGGTTTACCTTCCCACCAGAGCAGTACCTATTTATCTACTTGCACTTTGACATGCTTTCAAACTGCTAGGTGGGCAGGAGCAGGGATCAAGCAAAGGGAGCTCACCCCGTCATGGGGATTCAAACCGCGACCTTCTGATCGGCAAGCCCTAGGCTCTGTGGTTTAGACCATAGCGCCACCTGCGGTAGCAACTGACCTTAATTGTTTAACCATTAGCAAACTGACCTTGTTTCCTCTCCTCTCCCCCCTTTTAAAAATGGTTTAACCTCACTGTGGATCTGCTTGCACTTCTTATTCCTTAGCAGCAACTGGAACACGTTCAGTAATGTTTACTATCTGGGTAGTCCCACTCCATTCAAAGGGAAGGATTGGAATCTCAAACAATGCTTGGCTTTGGTAAACCACCAGAATGTGTAGTAGAGTAACATTTTAAGCCCTGCCTCAGCTCATAGGAAAATTGCCTTTTAATGAGTCAGATCAGTGGTCCACCCAGCTCAGTATTTTTTTATTTTATTACTATGCTGACTAGCAGTAGCTCACTAGCATCCCAGACAAAGGTCCTCTCCAAGTTCTACTTGGAGATGCTGCAGAATGAACTTGGGACTCCCTGCGTGCAAAGCAATGCTCTAACACAGAACTCTCCCAGTAGTCAAAATAGGGCCATTATTTCAGTAGAGGCGAACACAAGAAAACTGGATGTGTTGGAAGAACTAGGGACAAGCCGACCATCGGATTTAGAAGGGATGGCAAAAGGCTATTGTTGCGGAGTGCAAAGGTTATGGAATAGGGGTGTGTTCCCCAAGCATTGGTATGTATGGGGTCTGAATTCGGGTAGCGGTGGGCAGCGTTGCTGTAAAGCAGAGTGGCTGAGGACAGTACGCGCTGCAGAGAAAGAGATCGGGGTGTATCTCTCCAGTCTCCCTTCCGCCACCACCCAAGAGTAGGCTCGTCGGCTCGTCCGGATCTTCTCTCTCCTTCCCGCCAAGCGCCTCACTTCCCGCCAGGCGTGGCGCACAATTCCGCACCCGGGCCCTTCTCCTGTTGCTCTTCCCAAAGCTCTCTGCTCTCGGGAGCCGACGCTGCTTGGGGAACAAGGCGTCCCAAACGAGGGGCAGCCACAGCAGCGAGCGGCGTCAGCTGGGAGATCGCGGGACCGGGGAGTTTGCCGGCGGCGGCGGACCAAAGCGGAGCCTTCACTGCGTGCACCTGCAAGCGGCGGCCGCGGGGCAGCTCGTCGGAAGGCGCCGCGATCCGCTGCCGCCCGTCGGTGCCCGCGCCGCTACTGTGCCGCTCGGTCTCTGTGTGTGGCTCCCTCCCTCCCGCCTATTGGCTGGGAGGTGCCCGACGTCACAATGGGGAGTTCCTATAACTCCCCCACACTCTCAACATAACGGGCTCCGGGCAAGTTCTAGGCAGTCGGGAGGTGACGAAAGGGAGGAGGGTCCGAGCAGACAAATGCCTCCGCGGCGGCAGGCTGCATGCGGCTCCCGGTCCCGCCAAGCCCCGCGTGCGCTCGCCAAGCTTGGATCTTCTCCAGCGCGCCCGTAGCGGCCACAGAGAGCAGAGAGCCTGCAAAGGGGTCAGCGGCCGGGCGCTTCGGAGCCTTGGTCACACCCGGCGGGACGGACAGACCCTCGGCGCGCGGACCTGCCGAGAGGCGCTCCAAGTAAGAGCGGCGCGCAAGAAGGGCTCGGGCGCGGCTGCTTTCCCGGAGGGGCCGAGCGCGATGGAAGCGGTGAGCGCCGCTAGCGCCCTGCAAGCCACGCTGGGCGCCAACAGCAGCAGCAGCAGCGGGCAGAGCGCGGGCAACTCCACCGGCTCGGAAGAGAGCTGGGTGGTGGGCATGGGCATCCTCATGTCCCTGATAGTGCTGGCCATCGTCTTCGGCAACGTGCTGGTGATCACCGCCATCGCCCGCTTCCAGAGGCTGCAGACGGTCACCAACTATTTCATCACGTCGCTGGCTTGCGCGGACTTGCTGATGGGGCTGGCGGTGGTCCCTTTCGGAGCCAGCCACATCATCCAGCTCACGTGGAAGTTCGGGAACTTCTGGTGCGAGTTTTGGACCGCCATCGACGTGCTGTGCGTGACGGCCAGCATCGAGACTCTGTGCGTCATTGCCGTGGACAGGTACTTCGCCATCACCTCCCCCTTCAAGTACCAAAGCCTCCTGACCAAGAATAAAGCCAGGATGGTCATCCTGTTGGTTTGGGTCATTTCTATCCTAACCTCCTTCTTGCCCATCCAGATGCACTGGTACAGAGCCACGGACTCCAAGGCCAAAGAGTGCTATGCCGATGAGACTTGCTGCGACTTCTTCACCAACAAAGAGTATGCCATCACTTCTTCCATCATCTCCTTCTACTTGCCCTTGGTAGTCATGGTCTTTGTCTACGCCAGGGTCTTCCAGGTGGCCCAGAAGCAGCTGAAGAAGATAGGCAAATGCGAAGGGAGGTTCCACCAGCAAAGTTCACAGCAGGAGCAGCAGGCTGGAAGGGGAATCCACAGGAGGGCATCCAAGTTTTGCTTGAGGGAACACAAAGCGCTCAAAACCCTGGGCATTATCATGGGCACCTTCACGCTGTGCTGGCTCCCGTTCTTCATCGTCAACATTGTGCACGTCGTCTCGGAGGACGTCATCCCCAAATTTGTGTACATCTTTTTGAACTGGGTGGGATATGTCAATTCGGCCTTCAACCCTTTGATTTACTGCCGAAGCCCAGACTTCAGGTATGCTTTCCAGGAGATCCTTTGCTTCCGGAGGTCTGCCCTGAAAATGTACGTCAATGGATATTCCAACAGCAATGGGAAAAACGATTTCAATGGGGATCACAATGGCTATCATATGGGACAAGAGAAGGCTAGCGAACTGCTGTGCGAAGAAGGAAGCCCCCACACTGGGGAAGAGTTTTTGCACTGTAAAGGTACTGTCTTGCATGGTAGCATTAACTCCCAGAAGACCGAGCCTAGCACAGGGGACTCCCTCTTGTCGTGATTGTTGTCATTGCAAAGTGCAGAGAATAGAATGTAGTGGCTGCCTGGCAGCCGCACTCAAGACAAGGTTTACCCAGAATGTGGGAGCTGCCCCGTAGTTTAGCAGTCGATGGAAATGTTTAAGGATGGGCATATGTGGATTTGTATATGTGCATATTAGAGCCCCCTTCTTCCACCAAGGGTTAAGACACTGCAGGGGTTAGCCTACAAAGGAGTTTATTCTTGTGATGTAGTGTTACCAAACTCATCTACCTCACAGGTGTAGGAATAATATTGAACTGAGCTGCTGTTCCTAAAACTGAAATCCCTACACGCAAGAAGGAATTTGGTGCTACTGATGGCTCACCCTTTCGTCGGAAAACAATAGCTTTAAAGACTGTTTTAAGGCAAGAAGTTAGGGTTGGCTAGAGTGCTTAGGAATCTGTAAAGTCAAGTGTTTACTTTTGTTTTCAGAATATTGTCCGTAGTAGTGACCAAGTTTCCTGAACATGTTCTTTGCTGCAGCAAGCATTACCTTTGAAATCCTCACTAATGTCAGCTGTTTGTTGATATTAGCACAAAAAACCCTTTCAATTCCCCTTCAATTTAGATTTGTATTTATTTTCTACCCACACAACCCTGATCTTATCTCATTTTCATTAGCCGGCACTATTCAAATGCCAGATACTTATGTAGTTGTGAAAGCAGTCCCTGGTGTTGCTTTCCAGCGAAACCAGTCCTCCCTCGCTGTTCATTTATGATAATTTCCCCAAGGCAATAATATGCTGGTGTCCTGCATTGGGGCTCACTGTTCCCTATTAGAGTCTTGGCAAATGGACTGGGCATCAGCTTAGATGACATGGAACCTGTGTGCATTAAACCTTGTAAAATCATTAACCCACACTTTTTGCTGCCGTTGCCATAACCCAGAAAGTGACAGCAAGAGACCTAGAAGTGAAATACGTTTAAGCCTAGTTTGCATTAGGGTATAAAGCAGCATTTCATTTCTAAGGGCAGAGGAGCTGAATCACCTGATGTGCCAATGATTTCATTTGCCCTTCTCTGACTTCTAGCCCAGGAATGACAGGAAGGTAAAGGTATTTATTACTCAGAACAGTGCTTTGCTGGTTTTGGATCAACAAGTAGCTAGCAAGCTGTTCTCATTTAGGACCCCCCCCCCCACTAACTAGTTAAGTTTATGGAATGATTTTAAAGGCATTAACCTATTACAACTATAATTAAGGTAGTAATCACTCCCTTTCCACTAATTCCACTCTTTCTGTTTGACTAAAACACAGCCCACAAGAACCCACAGGCAATGAATTCTGGGATAGATCTGGGATTGACCTGGCCTATTATATTCCTCCTTCATTTGTTAAATTAGTACCCAGTGTGCTTGATGGTCTACCTCATCCCTGCCCTGGAGGTGTTTAGGTGAAGTAAAGGGTTTATGTGGCCATTTGTATTTTAGGTTCACTGAGCTGTATAGCCACTTCCCCTTGCACCATCAGACATCTTGCCCCTTTTGGTTCTTTGTAAAGATTGCCTTCCTTTTCTGTTCTGGGCCCGCAAATCATTCTGTGCTCTTCTGCAAAACTAATCAGTGCTGCTGCTTTTGAACAAAAGCTGAAAGTGTGTCATGACAAAGCTTGTTGCTGTGTCAATCAAACTCACCCTGTTTCCTGATCTGAGTAGGGTGTACAACTCTTGTCACTTTTTGATTCGAAAAAAATAAAAACATCTCAAACAACGACAACAAATGACAAACTGTTAGGATTCTAGAAGCAGGAGATAATTCTTGAAATATTATTCTGAATGTTTTGGCTTTTACATCTGAACTGAGCTTTACTAATAAGGCTGAAACTGTTGCTGGGGATGCACAATCATCTCCCTGAGGCTGTCCGACTCAGTTTAGTGGGTATCTCTCTCTCTCTGTGTGGTGTACACACACATTATGAGTGGGCCAGCAAACATTGGCCACCTTCCATGTGAACTGCTGGATGTGAGCCTCCTTCAGTTGCAGTATATGACACAGTGACCTGTCGTGCATAACCCATAGATGTAGTGAAATACAGAATAATGAAATGAAATAATCGAGAAAGGCAGCATCTGCAGAAGGTCCCAGGTTCAATATCCAGCCTCTCCAGGTTGGGCTGGTGAGGAATCCTGTCTGAAACCATGGAGTGCCTTTGCCAGAGCTGAGCTAGATGGACCAATCTGACTCAATATAAGGCAGCTTCCTAAAAATCCATTTGTGTTTCTTCCATTGGCACAGAGCTCCCTCACCTGGCAACCAAAGCCTAACTCCCATTAATTTCTAATGTACTTGGGAGAGGAGAAGACTCATAGAATCGTGGAGTTGGAAGGGACCAGACAGAAGGAAGTATGCTTTGTTTTTTTCCAGATTAATTTGACTCATGGCAACGAAGATTGTGATTCATTGTATTTCAAAGGATTCAGTATTTTTGGACACACTTTTGAAATAGCCTATGGCTCCATAGGAGACTTTCTAAGGCTGCCAGTCCTATACGCAGCTTCCTAGGAGCTGGAGCATAGGATCCCTTTTTATGGAGAAACGCTGAGTCAGCTCAGCCTGGTTTTGATTTGCCTGCTTTCTGGTTTGCTAGATTTTCTGACAAGTTGCTTTCTTTTTCTTCTGAGTTTCCTGTATGTCAGCTCCAGGGCTGTCAGATGGGAACCTGATATGATGCATGAGTCAACAGGTGCAAGAAAGAGGGGGGTAGCAAGTCTGAAGTGGGTGGAAGACAAGTGCCAAGCTATGTCGTCAGGGTCTTTGGTCCTGTCAGGACACAGAACAAACTTGCAGATGATCCAACTATTGATGTTTTACGTAGGTACAACCCTCCCCCATTCCATGCACAACTTTATTTTCAGGGCATGATTGACAAGGGGATGTGAAAGTGCCCGAGACTGACACAGCAGAGGATATAATGCAATCTGCTGCCTCTCTACAAGGCAGTGGCACATTTTCATTTCCTGTTTGTCTGCCTATCTGCTCATTATTATTCTAATTCCTCCACTTAGCATCTGGGTAGCTGAACTGAAGGTCTTCCCAATCTTTTGGGAACAGAGTGCTATTTTAAGCTCCCCAGCACAACCAGAGATTCCCTTCCCCACCCCTACCCCCGCTGTAAACATCAGGGAAATTGCAACGAGTAAAACATAATACTATATATATATATTTCTTATGTTTGCAATATTGAAACCCACCCCCAGCATTTTTAAGGACATTAGTTCACCATAGGTAAATTTATAAATCACAGTAAACCATGGTTTATGATGATGGGAATGAGCTGCCTTCGGTTTGTGCACCCCTCTCTTCCTCTGGCACATCCCTAAGAAGGAGATCAGAAGATTTCACATCTGTTTCTAGTTACTGCAGTTTAGCATTATGCCCCAATTCTAAACTCTGGTTAATCTTAGCTATGGTTTGTTGAAACAAGTCAACTTCAAAACTCAAGCAGCAGTGGTTTAGAAATCCCAGGCATCAGAGAATGCCTTGTCTTCCTTCAACGAGTTCTTGTCCCCTTTCTACATTAACAACCTTGTGTGGTGTCAGGGCAGACCTCTTTGCCTCTTCCCTCCTCCCATAGGCATATCTAAGGGGCCAAGATAGTTGCCTGGGTTTGATTCATGTCATGTTACATTCAAAGCGAAAGTTCTTCCATCTCTCTGAAATGATGCTTTGAGTGATAGGTCAACTTCTTGGAAGTTGAAGTCATTTTCCTTGGCTCTCTTAATATCAGAGACTTCCTGTTAGCACAGAACTGTTGTTGTTTCAATATCTTTGAATGTGTTTGTCCATTATTATTATTATTTTAATTGCTTGAAATAGCTACTGGCCAATCATGGTGTCTTTCATGCTGCCGGCAGCCAATATATACATTTGGATCAGACCCTGAGAATTCTAATAAGAAGTTTCCTAGAATAGTGTCTTGATGGGGAAAACATTGGGGAAGGGGGGAAAACTTGTTTTGTTCTTTTAGGCCTAGCCTCACTTTAAAAAAAAGTGTGTTGGGGACGCACTCAAAGCACTTTATATAAATATGTATGGACTTATATTTTGTTTATTGTCTGACACAATGTAATTTCAAGCAAGGGGCTGCTAAAAGAATGGTAAAGTAATGAGAAGCATGTATGATGTATGGGGGGAGGGAACAATCTTTGCATTGTGATATGAAACTGGCATTTGCAATCTTTTTGTGGTAAGGTAGTTCACGGTGTTGTCTGCAGGCCGGACATCGATCACCGTGACAAACAAACAAACAAACAAACAAACAAACAAACGCTGAAAGCCTTTCTCAAAACAAGAACGAAAGTCTGCAAACGACTCTTAATGAAAGTGAGAGCAAGTGGTATGAACTGTATAGTATTGACCGGAATGTATGGAGAGTTGTTTGTGCTCAAAATGCCTTTGGGATTGCCTCTCTTTGTTTTGTACATATTAAAGCACTGATGGACTTTCTGCTGTTTTACACTCCCTTTTTTTTTTTTTTGCTTAGCAAACACCACAGTGGGCATCACTCATTCATTAAGGGCATGCCCTGGCTGGTGTGTCTTTATTCAACACATGCTTGATAGGGAAGTTCCTTTCTCTGGAAACACAGAAGAAGACTCCTGCCTGCCTGTCTCCTTTCTGGCTGAACCAGTGAAAGATTTGCTGAGTCCCATGAGAAATGCTGTTTGCAGAATGTGCAACATTTAATTTTTCACAAAACTCTTCCATCTACCTCTGCTTTCTGAGCACAGCCAAACCCCTTAGCTCTGCAGTTCACAACGCAGAGTACTAACCACTATACGATCATGGCTCGCTTCATTTTTTTAAAAAGCTCTGTAGTTCAAAAGCATTTTTTGCCACATTCATATTTCCCGTCCCATAATGCACCTTCATAAACCTTTCAACTTGTGCCTCTGTCAGGCTTGAGGCTTG